AAAATGAATTAGGATTCTGTTGCAGTCTATATGTTGGGATCACATTCATGTTATTAGACCAGTGAAACCAAAGCTACAAGAAGAGTCCTGGATTCTGCTTCTCTGTCTATCTATTGGTTTTCTCTGAATTTCTCACAGAGCTATGGAAGCAGCAAGATGGCACCTCTTGTTGTAGAGTGAGAGCAGTTGAGCATCGTACATCCAGCATTTGCCAGTAAGGCACACTTACCTTCATTGGGGATGTTGTTACTTAAAAATATGGGCTTCTGGAACCAAATTTGTTTATGATCCATCTTCTGCATAAAATAATCTCATCAGGAACTCTGAGAGCACACTTTGTCCTATTACTTTTTTATACCACAGTGAAAGAATGTCAAGGACAACCAGCAAGGCCAAACTGTACCTATGTAGGCACAGGCCCAAGGACAACTAGTTCTACTGCTCTGTCTCCCAGGAATGATTCCTTATTGCTCTCCTCTTGAGATCAGGGAGGTGATAATGTTTTATGCCAAAGGTACAACCCATGTTAGAGTGCTCCAGGGCATGGTACGTAAGGGAGAGGTCTATAAGCTTCCCTTTTTTTTTTTTTTTTTTTAATTTATTTTTTTCCCCCAAAGCCCCAGTAGATAGTTGTATGTCATAGATGCACATCCTTCTAGTTGCTGTACGTGGGACGCGGCCTCAGCATGGCCGGAGAAGCGGTGCGTCAGTGCGCGCCCAGGGTCCGAACCCGGGCTGCCAGCAGCGGAGCGCGCGCACTTAACCGCTAAGCCACAGGGCCGGCCCCTATAAGCTTCCCTTTTGATGTTCTAATTGTCCTCTAAAATGGTTTAAGTTTTTTATAACACATGATGAATGATATGGGAAATGAGCCTGCACAAAGATATTTTATTTGGATGGTGAGGTATATTGGTGAAGTGGAATTTGGGAGAGTAGCCAAGAAGAAACAGTGAGCAGCATTATTCACAATAGCCAAAAGGTGGAGGCAACCCGAGTGGCTGTGGACAGATGAATGGATATACAAAATGTGGTATATACATACAATGGAGTATTATTCAGCCTTAAAAAAAGGAAGTTCTGACATTTGCTACAACATGGATAAATCTACTTATGCTAAATAAAATAAGCCAGACACAAAAGGGTAAATATTGTTTGATTCCTCTTGTATGAGGTTCCTAGAGAAGTCAAATTCATAGAAAGTTGCTAGGGGCAGGGGGAGATGGGGAGTTACTGTTTAATGGGTCAGAGTTTTAGTTTGGGAAGATAAAAAAGTTCTGGAGATGGATGGTAGTGATGATTATACAACAATGTGAAAATACTTACCTGTACACTTAAAAATGATTAAAATGGTAAATTTTATGTTATGTATATTTTACCACAATTTTTTTTAAAAAGAAGAAACAGTTGGGCCGGCCTGGTGCCGTAGTGGTTAAGTTCCTGTGCTCCGCTTTGGCCGCTCGGGGGTCACAGGTTCAGATCCCGGGCAGGGACCGACATACCACTTAGCAAGCCATGCTGTGGCAGCGTCCCATATAAAGTAGAGGAAGATGGGCACGGATGTTAGCCCAGGGCCAATTTTCCTCAGCAAAAAGAGGAGGATTGGCAACGGATGTTAGCTCAGGGATAGTCTTCCTCACAAAAAAAAAAAAAAGAAGAAGAAGAAACAGTGATTGAAAGGTAAAGGTTTGACTGAGAGCATTCATTTGGCCTTTCATTAAGCAAATGTTTGAGCAGCTACTGTGTGCCAGCACTGTTTTAGGCCCAGGATACAATAGTGCATAAATCAGATAAGGTCTTTGCTTTCATAGAGCTTATGATCTAATAAGGAAGGCAGATTATATGGAAAAAGACAAATGAATAGACAAGACTTATGATCATGGCAAGATCTGTGAAGGAAATGAATAAGGTGGGATGAGAAAGTGATGAAGGGATGTCACTACTTTAGAAAGAGTGGTCAGTGAAAACCTCTCTGAGGGGTTGAAATTTGAGCCAAGAATGAGCCCACCATTCGAAGAAAAGAAGAGAGCTCTAGGCAGAGGGAACAACGGATGTAAAGCCCCTTGGGTAGAAATGAGTACTCGGTGTGTTCAGAGAACAAAGAAGCATTATCAAGAAAGAAGTGAGTGGTTTGAGAGGAGGGCAGAGAGGTGGTAGCAGATAGATGACATTGATTGAACACTTACTGTGTGCCAGGCACTGTTTAAAGAGCCTTTCGTGTACTAACTCATTCAGTCCTCACAACCCTATGAAGTGGATTCCCTTATTCCAACACTTTGCACCTCTCGGGCAACTGAGGCACAGAGAGGTTAAGTAACTTGCTCACGTTCACCTAACTAGTCGGTGTCAGAGCCAGGATTCGGCAGAGCCACAGTCTTAACCACTGTAATGTGTTGCTCTGACGTCAGCGTCAAGAGCTCAGAGGAGGTGGCCGGCCCTGTGGCCTGGTGGTTAAGTGCGCGCACTGCGATGCTGGCGGCCCGGGTTCGAATCCCGGGTGCGCATCGAGGCACCACTTCTCCGTTCATCCTGAGGCCGAGTCCCACATACAGCAACTAGAAGGATGTGCAGCTACGACACACAACTATCCACTGGGGCTTTGGGGGGAAAAAATAAAATAAATAAAATCTTTAAAAAAAAAAAAAAGAGCTCAGAGGAGGGTCCAAGCTGGAGATGCACATTTGGGAGTCATTGGCATTAGACGGCATTTAAAGCCATGGAACTGGAGAGGTGAGAAGACAGCTCTGGAGAGTCCCAGTCATAGGACTTAGAATGAGGAAAAGGGAGAGGAGGAGAGGAAACAGAGAGGACCTAACAAAATGGTTCAGTCATTTGTGCATTTGACCATTCATTATCTTGGGGAAAATGTTTCTGCTGGTTCACAGCCAGAGCTGATTGACAGGAATCCAAGTTGGTTAAGAAATAACTGCTATTGCTGCAGTGTTTTCTAAAAGGTCCTATCCGTGATCTCTAGTTACCCCTCTGCTGGTGTCTTAATCTGCTCAGACTGCTATAACAGAATGCCATAGACTGGGTGGTTTAAACAACAGACATCTCACAGTTCTGGAGACTGGAAGTCTGAGATTGGGGTGCCAGCATGGTCGGGTTCTTGGTGAGGTCCTCTTCTGGTTCACAGACAGCCTTCTTGCTGTATCCTTACATGGGGAGGAGGAGGAGAAAGAGATCTCCTGTCTCCTCTTATTATAAGGATATTAATCCCATCAGGAGGGCCCCACCCTCATGACCTAATCTAACCCTATTTACCTCCCAAAGGCCCTGCCTCCTGATAGCATCACGTTGGGGGTTAGGGTTCCAACATATGAATTTGGGGGAAACACAAACATTCAGCCCATGGCAGCTGGGTTTCAAGAATTAGCAGTTCAAGCTTCTATAAATAGTTTGTCAGAAAGAGATGTAAGTGTTTATTCCAGTTACCCGATTAAGAAATTTAGAAACAGATATTTGTGGGTTATATAGCACACAGATTTTCATCGGAAAATCATCCTCAAGATTGCTTGGTAGATAACACATTTTATGGTATTTTAGAAAGATGACGGAATATCAGAACTGTGTGTGTGTGTTTAGTTTGGGAACTATGTTAAACACACATTCCATGAGGAACACTTATGATCCTTGTCTCCTTTCGCTTGGAATTCAAACCTCTGAGCATATAAATTCTCAAATTTGGTAAAGATAGTTACTCAACTAACTAAGTTAAAGAGAACAGACAAACATCAGAGAAAGTCTCACCCGGTTACTTCCCCCTCCAGAGTTCTAGTGTGTATCTTCCAAAGAGTAAATTCGATTTTTCTAAAATTTTTACTTCAACTTTTAGTAGACTCACCCCTTTTTTGGGGGGTGGGGGAAGAAGGGGTGATATTTAAACTTTTAGGTATTCATCTGTGTTCTCATGCCTTTGTACCTAATATTAGCTCTGGAATGCCACCCCTCGTCAGATTTGTCTGTGTTTCAAGACCTTGTTCAAATGTTACTCAAACCAGAAAGGCATATCTGCCATACGCTTTCAGATGGACGGGAGCATTTAGACTGTATTAAAGGGAGTAGTGTGTGTTGCTCTCCTGTACTAGATGTGAGTTCCTAAGGACGGGATCTAAGTCTGTGTATCTTAACTCTTAACAGTGGATTTTGACCTTTTAGTATTCACAGCACCTTACTGAAAACCAGACATCTTAGTGACATACTTAAAGTGATTCAGAGCCTCAAAACCACACTAAATTCAGCAATAATAACAAGGCAGTCACTTCCTCAGTGTGACAGTTTCTCACAGTGCCTATAAAATCACTCAGTGTTATCACACGAGTCACTTGGTCGCCCTTCAGCAACATGGCACTGTCTGAATGATTTTTGTTCTTCTGAATTCTCTCTCTTATATCCTAGTTTCTAGAAGACTTATCTATTGTTGAAGAGAAAAAAACATGATAAGGCCAGTAAGCCATCACATTCTTGGCATTTTTACATGAAACTGAAATTCTTACCTTCAGGACTCCCAAGGGGTGGAGAATTATTTGAAATTTAGCATGAATTTGCCAAAGTGGCTATTTTCTCCAAGCAATACTTTGTGTAGTCAGCTGTTCAGCGCCCATATGGCTCCTTGTGTTGGTGCCCCCTGACTGGTGCACAGTAGACTTGATGGATTGTGTGAGATGGCCTAATTTACAGACCACTTATGGGTTGCTGTTTTTTAAAAAAACATTCTAAGCTAAGAAAAAGGACATTCGACTTTTTCTTTTCTATTAAGTTTTCTGATTTGTCCAAAGAGGGGCCATATTTCATCAAAGCTAAGATGCCAACAATTATGAGATGCATCTCGATTTCTTAAATGTTACAATGTCTTTAAAAGCTCTACAAGTAATGGCAGTTGCTCTTGGAAAAACTATCCATTCAGTGCCACTTTTCTGTCTAGGGTCCTTTACATATTTAGTTCCTTGAGACAGGGCAAAACACTACTAAATTTCTACTAACTTCTTGTTTTTCCCTACCAGTTGCTTTTCGGCTATACGATTTGGATAAAGATGACAAGATCTCCCGCGATGAACTGTTACAGGTATGTGGGAGAGCTCCCATGCACGCGGATAACTTGTGTTTGCTGCTTATTCTTGCGGGCAGGAATTGGTCTTTCCTTCAGTAAGCATTTATTTAACACCTGCTGTGTGCAGAGTCCTCTGCCTAGATGTAAGGCAGAGCAGATGACCTTGGGAAACTTGAAATGGCTCATTGAGTTCTCGCAGGCAGATATCTCCACTATTTAAAAGCTAACCACATGTCTTTTAGGTGCTAACTGGCAGAGCTAAAATATGTTCACATCATTGTCTAGAATGGCCTTGATGAGAAGACAAGGGTTTCAGCTTTCTGGCTATTATATTTGAGAACATCAAAGGAAAAGAGGCTGGAGGCGGTTTTATCTTTAATCTTAGTAAAATAGCCCCCCGACCCCCTTATATGACAAGTCTCATATAGTTCTTGGCTGTTGGTCCTGCAGGTGCTACGAATGATGGTCGGAGTGAATATCTCAGATGAGCAGCTGGGCAGCATCGCAGACAGGACCATCCAGGAGGCTGATCAGGATGGGGACAGTGCCATATCTTTCACAGAATTTGTTAAGGTCAGTCAGTCACCTCTTGGTCTGAAACAGTTAAATTCTACTGCACAGGAGGGAGGGAAAAAAACATTATTCAGATAAGAGCCTGGGACAGTATCTCCTGTTGTGACGTTCATAACTGTCACTGGGTTTTTTTTTCCCCAGGTTTTGGAGAAGGTGGACGTAGAACAGAAAATGAGCATCCGATTTCTTCACTAAAGGACTGAGACCAAACTGTTCTTGCTTTCTAGTATTTAAGAACTGGAACTTGAGAGTCCTCCTGTCCACCAGCCCCACCTCCACCCATCATTCCCCTTCTCCCAGAGTACTACTGCTGTTGCATGACAACCCCAGATATGTTCCGTCCACACAAACCTGCCTTTGGTGTATAAACAGGGCATTACAGAATGGTACCTTCAGTCTATTTCTGTTCAGTATCATTCGCTGGTTATCTCCATTTCTAAATATCATCTCCCCCTGTTCTGCTGCTGAATGCCACACGTCCATCCAATCTGAGAAGGTGAGAGAGGGAATCATGCCAAGAACCAACCAGCAAAGCTCTTTCACTGGATGCAGACTGTAGCCATGCTGCCTTCCCTCCACTAGCTTCGGCATGCTCCTTCATCCTTTTTTATACATCCTTTGCCTCCTACTTCTCTTTCACCCAACATACCGTTCAGTCTTTCAGTCTCCCTACTTTTTATTAAGTTTCAATCCCCTCTGTTCTACTTGGCAACCCAAGCTATGCCTGTTAAATGTATTTCTGACTAGGTGGAATAGTTCGGTGGTCTGGCAGTTTTTATCTACCTTTACTCTTAAATGGGTCTCTGGGATGTTGCCTATCCAGGAGCTTTTCAGTAACCAACACTTCTCTCAGAAGAATGTGACCATCTCTTGGTCCCCTGCACTCTGCTCTGTCATCAAAGGGCTGTTGGTTGGAGATGTTCTTCTTGAACAGTGGTGGCCTTGGTGAGCCAAGTCTCTTAGGTGGCTTGCCCAGGTCGCTCTACCTCTGGCCTCTGATTCTCAACATACATACCTACATGGCTACTCTGTTAGTACAGTGTTGACTCTTTTTAGAAAATAGCCATATGCCTGCGGGTTTGCCTAGTTTGGGGACACCATCAGCACCAGAATGGCTCCTCTGACAATATGCTTGGGGACTTGCTCATGGCTTTTTGAACAAGGAGGCTAGCCACCCTAAAAGTCTCGTGTATTCCCACCTCTGCAGCATGGTTTATGCCTCAGTGTTATGTGCCCTGGAATGTTTTTCACTTCACATTTCCTAGTAGAAAGATTAGAGTTGTGGAAGTGCCTAACTTATCCCAGCCCAAGAGATTTAAAGGTTGTCCTCAGTGTCTTGAAGTTTTGCACAAAATTCTCTATGAATTTTGCACTTGGCAGATGTTCATGTTGGAAGCCATAGTCAGCCCTTAATACAGGTCCAAAGCATTGAATGTATTGTACCATCAGCTGCCTAGTTACACTGACTTCCTAGCCCCCCTCGTGGACCACTGCTAATCCCTTAGAAACAAGAGGTCTGGCACTGGTGGCACAACCTGAGGGGGCATTACAGGCCTTTGCATGAGCCAGAGAAACTTCCATGCCTAAGTCAGCTTACTGTAGACCTCATTGAATCAGGCTGCTGCCATCCTCATATCTGTCTTTATGAGTCTGTCCATCCATATATCTGCCCTTGGCTGATTTTCTTGGACTTATTGCTTGCTTGCTTATTTCCTTGCTTTGGAAGGCTATCCAAGATGTATACACAATACCTTAGGAAGGGAATTGCTAAAAAAAAAAATACCACTGCAAAGGGATTGGGAAGAGTGGGGAAGAGAGGAGTGGCCAGGCTGGATGACTTAAGTATAAATGACCGAGGAATTCTTCATGAAGTATCAGTCTGACTTGGTGATCAAGTGATGTAATATAGGAATTGTATAAAAGGGAAGACTTGTCTGACACTGGTCTGTTAGAGAGGTACTTCAGGGGCTCCTTGACTTGCATATTTAAAATTCCTAAGATTATGGCTTTTTCCTCCTTTTGGCTGTATAGTAAACTGTTTTAATCCACAGTTGTGCCTTATTGTTCCATTAAAATTGTATTCTTCGATCCATCAATAAATACTTGTGGTTAAAACAAGATAACTTGGTTGATTTTGTCCATGTGTTTTACAAGAATTTTATATAACTCAGTCCCCTTCTTCACGATTGAAATCATAAATGGTGTCTCCTTTACTTAGGTTTATGTCTGTGCTATCAAATGCAGGTTTACTTGGCTGCTGCCTGGACATAGGAGGTGGGGGCATTCATCTAGAGGCCAGCACTGTGTGCCTCTGGACATGGCTTTGTCAGCCTCGGCCACTTCCCACTCACTCCAGGTAGGATTCCATTTCTGTTCTTGACTCCCTGGCTCCTTAAATGTAGAAAAGGCCTAAAAATGGGGTATCTGTCTATTGCTCATTATTAAGTTGTCCACCCCCTCATACATGTGCAGCCTTAATGACATACGGTACGCAGCTATTATTACATGGCTTTTCACATCTTCAGGCTTCAGTGACTGCTTAGTCTCTGTAGGGTAAGAGCATCTCTTCTTATTTTCAGGTCTAGTGGCATGCCACAGGACTCAAAGCAGTAATAGCTGGAATCAGTCATATAAATTCTAACACCATATGCTCTTCTCCGTTTCCCATCCCTCTGCCTCAAAAGTCCATCCAAAATGACTTGCACAGCATTTCAGCTTTGCTTTGCTTTGAGTCTAATTTTATAATTTAGGATTTAGAGAAAGTAAAAAATAGATGGAATGACCATGAAGTCAGTTTTGAAGGAACCTTAATGTTACTGACCATGGCCACAGGTATACCAGTCTGTGACTAAAATAAAATATAAGCGATACTGTAAAAAAATTATAAAGACATTACAACATTAAATACAGTTTGAGGAGAATCCCTTTAACCAATTTTATTTTCTTTGCTCCCTTCTGGATATGCATTATGTATTTGAATATAAATGGAACATAATATGAGATTATATCAGCTTTTAAAAATTAACATATTGTAATATTTTCCCATGTTATCTGTTCTTCCTAGTTTGTATTAATGGTTATATAATATTTGACCAACTTCATGTAATACTTATTTAACCATTACCTTGTTTGCTTATTGTTTCTAATTTTATCTGTTATAAAATAACGACACAATGAATCTCTTTCTGCATATAACTCTTTATCTTTGAAAAAATTTTACAGGAGTGGGATTACTAGGTCAAAGTTTGGGCATATACTTATAGCTTTTGATGGGTTTCAAAAGAAATGAATGCCACAATGCTCCAAGCAATCAAATTACTCTCCTTTATCTTCACAGTTCTTTTTAGAATATTCTTTATGGTCACCTTTTTTTTCAAATTGATTTTAGAATCATGTTGTCAGGTTTTGCATTTAAAACTCTATTAGAATAGATTGTGTTAGTTGGGATTTAGAGCAAATATTTACTGCAGAGATGCCTCAGAGAGGACTATCTTTACAAACTTGATTTCTTATACTACAAACCAAGTATTTATCCTGTTCCCCAAACACTGAGCAGAATTGCTTGGAAGGAAGTCATCATTACTGGATTGAAATTCCCTAAATTCATATTATTTTGGCTGAGCTTTGAGTCCACAAGCGATTCAAACTAAA